CGTAAACACCCATAAGTAGTACTGTTTTTCAAGTACATACTACCCCTCATAACAATATATGTTATTAACTTTCAGGAGTGTGATCAATCAATTAGTTGACAAATTTGATATTCTGGATATTAAGATGATACAAAACTTTCAGGTAAATGGCTTTATGTGTATTGTTCTAAAGGCTAGATGTTTGTGTTTCTGTATTTGACTGTTACAGTAATTATTAGCTCCACTGTCGGTTGCTTTGATATAATACATATCAGTACCTCAGATGGATCTCTCTTAGATTTGTACATTTCGTGATGATATCTTCAATTATTTAATTTTGATAAATATTTTTGGTAAAAAGTGATATTTTTGACTTTTTGTTGAAAACCACAAGGCCAATTGCATTTATATTGTACATATAAGTACTACAGGTGGACCTCTCTCAGATTTGTTCATTTCATTGGTGATTTCTTTAATTGAAATGTGCATGTGCATGATGAATATTTTTGTCATTTTTGGTGAAAAATGATATTTTTGACTTCTTGTTAAAAATCGCAAGACGAATTGATTCGATATTATACATACAGGTACTGGTAAAACTCACACAGATTAATTCATTTTATGATGATTACTTCATTTCTTTAATTGAAATGTGCACTGCTAACAGCGGAGTTATCTCAGCCGAGAGGCTGCTTGTATTTTTGTAATTTGTTGATAATCTTCGTTCGAAAATAATTATAATCTCCATCCATCCGTCTGTTTGTTCGTCAGAAGTAGTATTCTAGAATCCTCTTGAATGAATTTATTCATTCTTTGCATGTGCCAAGTACTTTATGTGGGATATAGTGGCTTATCGATTCAATTCAAGATGGCCAACTTGCAGTCATTTTGTTTTTTGAAAATGTGGTATCTCAACATGTCAGTTTTCATTCTAACATGTTAGGATATTGTACATGTCCATGACAATTTGCTTTACATTCGGATCAAAGATTGCTGACTGTTGGCTATTATGTTTTTTGGCCATATAACTATATCTGTAAGAGTTATGGACCATTTTCTTTCTTATCATGCACCTTGTATTGCCCGGCTTTGTAATGCTATGAGAAGTGCGCCCTCACATCAGGGCCATAATTTCCTGTGTCACACCTGGTCCATTGCGCTAAGCTTTCATCATTCAAAACAAAACGCATCATTCTAAATTAAGAATTGTGTTTAAGGTCACGCTGTGGTATAATTGTGTAAGTGTGGTATCATTGCTATACCTTATACATCTATAAGGTATAGCATAAAACTTTAATGGACTAGATACGGCTTTTGCCACATATCCTCGGGCCGCAAAATGCATATCCAGTCCATCAAGAATAATATATTTGGCACATACATCATACATGTTGAAATACATGTCCATATCAGTTTGTTTCATAATCACATTAATTTGGTACATACATTATACATGTTGAAATACATGTCCATGTCCATATCAGTTTGTTTCATAATCACATTAATTTGGTACATACATTATACATGTTGAGATACATGTCCATGTCCATATCAGTTTGTTTCATAATCACATTAATTTGGTACATACATTATACATGTTGAAATACATGTCCATGTCCATATCAGTTTGTTTCATAATCACATTAATTTGGTACATACATTATACATGTTGAAATACATGTCCATGTCCATATCAGTTTGTTTCATAATCACATTAATTTGGTACATACATTATACATGTTGAGATACATGTCCATGTCCATATCAGTTTGTTTCATAATCACATTAATTTGGTACATACATTATACATGTTGAGATACTTGTCCATATCAGTTTGTTTCATAATCACATTAATTTGGTACATACATCATACATGTTGAAATACATGTCCATATCAGTTTGTTTCATAATCACATTAATTTGGTACATACATTATACATGTTGAAATACATGTCCATGTCCATATCAGTTTGTTTCATAATCATATTAATTTGGTACATACATTATACATGTTGAAATACATGTCCATGTCCATATCAGTTTGTTTCATAATCACATTAATTTGGTACATACATTATACATGTTGAGATACATGTCCATGTCCATATCAGTTTG